ATAGTGAGTTCCAGGACAGCTGGGGCTACAGGGAGACCCTGTCTCAAAAAGACCCCCCCAAAAATGCATTAAAGAACTGAATAGGAAAAAAGAAAAGGAAAAGGACAAAGAGATTAGAATTGTTTAACTTTTTAAAGTTTATTTCTACATCTATACAATGTATTTTGATATAGTCAATAACAGAAGAGATGGCTGGCCAGCAGACAGGAAGCAGAAAGTAATTAAATATGGAAAGACTGGGAGCACTTTGAACAGGTAACTGGAGATATTCCAAATGTCCAACAATAGAGAATTATTTAAATAAATCATGATCTGTTCACATAGGGAATCATGCAGCTATTAAAAACCACATTGCTTGATAGTTAATGACACAAGGAAATATCTAGCCAGTAGGTGATAAAAGAGGGTCCTGGAAGTTTTAATTTTAGTGGAATAAACAGAAAAACACATGGATTTTAACGTAGAATATATGATAACCAATGATAATTGGGATCTTCTCATTTCTGTTTGCGTCTATGTCTTTTCATCAATGAATGCATACTTTAAAAACTGTATGATAAAAACTATAAAAGAAAGAACAAAAGAAAGGTCTGTAGGTCAGGAAGACATATAATCATGCATCCATGTATTAGAAAAAAATCTCTGAGAATGAAATTTAGACCATCTAAAAACTACTAACAAAAAGAGAGGAAGAGGGTGTTACAATATTCATAGCAGTCTGAAAATACAGGCAGTGTCCCATGGTCTTTAGCACACTTACGCATAGACAGTATAATACAAATGTGGACATTTCTGTCTATATCCAGGGTGGGGCATCAGTTTTCCTAACTGGGAATATAAACACTCCAGTGTTAACATTTGATCAAGATAATACCTGAAGTCTTTCTCTGCCTTTTAAATTTTTGACAGTTCCATGCATGTATATGATGTGATCACACTCATTACTATTATCCACTCTTACTTCCTCCCTCTCCTGCTGATCCCCATTTTCTCCCCAACTAGACCCCATAGCGATGTCTTATGTTTTATAATAACCCTTTTCTCTGATTAGCATCAAATATTTTGTTAATTAGTACAAGAGCAGAACTGGATCTTCACAGAATAAATTAGCAAGTGTTCAAGATACTGGATTAGCTGAAATGTTTTTAGTAATATTTCTATGAACTTGAATACAAGGCCCTATCAAGTCCTTTGCCTTTAGGGATGGCTGGGCTTGGAACCCTGAGGATCCAGGGTATTCTCCGAGTCAAAGGCCTACAGACATAATGTTGTTGTTTCAGGTAAATGGTTTTCAAGTGCATAGTTTTATTTATTAATTTTTTAATGTGTATTAGTGTTTTGCCTGCAAGGATGTAAGTGCACCTGTGTCATGCAATTCCTGTGAAAGCCAGAAGAAGGGGCCAGATCCCCTGGAACTGGAGTTAAAGACAGTTGCTAGCTGCCATATGGGTGCTGGGAACTGAACCTGGGTCCTCTGGAAGAGCAGCCAGTGCTCTTAACCACTGAGCCAACTCTCTAGCCCCCTTAGGTACATAGTTTTGTGACAGTACCAAAGAAAGCTAGAATTCAATGAGCTTATGGAATAGGTTGTGTCTACTGTTTCATCTTTGCTTGCTAACAGATGTTTATGTGTGCCAGAACTTGATTTTATTATAACCTGGAAACAAGGCTATACAGGATCAACTATTTCTCACTCATCTCCACTAGCTGAGGTTTACAAGCAAGGAAAGAGCAGTCCTCAAAGGAAGTACATACTGAACTATTTTCACTAAGACAGATGTTGCAGATGAGCTACTAAGGTGTTGTATAGTCTCAAAGAGCTCAGTAACATGATGTGCTAACTAGAAATAGTGTGTGGCTACTGCTGTCACTATGCAAACAAATATATGGATTCTAATCATGCTTAAAGAGCAAATGAAAATTCATCAATGCTCTTGAATGGCTACTTTTTCCATAATCCATCATATTATGGCTACGCTGCAATAATACAAAGAGAATGAACTGGGCATGGTAGCTCAAGCCTGTGATTCTACAACTTGGAAGGCTGAAGCAGGAGGATCACCAATTTGAGGGCAGACTGGATTACACAGTCAGAAGCTATTCTCCTTCCCCTCAAAACACAGCAAGAGAATGAAGAAACTGACTTATATTTCACAAAGTAATCCTGGCAGGTGATTCTGGCATAACGAGTTCTGAATGAATTGCTTGTATCTTATCTCTGTAACAGACTCCTAGGAGTTACAAAATGACTGTTCTCGCTCAAGTTATTTCATAAACTGAAACAATGAAGTGACACCCTTTGTAAAGATGAGAATTTTTCTGAAATAATAGTAATTTCGATTGTGAGGTATATTTTCTTGGGAAGATGTCTATCTTTCATCAGACTCAACAAGCATGACAAAACATTTTAGGAGCTACTATGTTTGCCTGGTAAATGTAGTATCTTCTATTTAAAGCTAAATATAAAAATGATTTGTTACAGGTTGACTTGTGTCCACTCCTGATCATTCCACAAATTAATATATTGAAATCCCAGTACCTTAGAATGTGACCTAGATTGGAGAGAAGTAATTTTGTAACAGAAGTAATCAAATTATAAAGTTAGGTCAATAAGGTGGGTCCTAAACCAACATGACCAGTGTCCTGATAAGAAGATGAAATTTGGACAGAGATATGTACAGAGGGGACTCTTTGAAGGTTCCCAGTAGCTTGCAGTGGTCATTTAGTGATCAGTACTCTGTGCTGTGGAAGACAGTGTGAAACCAGAGATGACCATCAAAGGGCACAGTCTAGTACAGATCCCTTACATCAGAAAGAAGAAACAAACCACCGATACCTAGATTGTGGGCTATTAACTTTCAAAATGGTAAGGTAAATTTCTGTTGCTTAAGCTACTCAGTTTGTGGTTCTTCATTCTGGAGTCCTAGCTAAATAATATGTGGAATTAAAGTCCCCAATCCATTCTTCTTCTTCAGTTAGCACCGACGTTCCTATTCAAGGTCTAGTTCACTTAGCCTCCCATGCACGCAATTCATATATTCTGAGTTTGTTAGATTTGTCTATGCAGAAAACATTAATGAGAGTAAGAATAATTAGCTCTATCACACACTCAAGACTGTATACCCTGCATTGGCAGCCTGCATCTTAGGACAGACAACAGGAGGTATTGATGGCTCTGATGCCAAGTTAGGTGACTCTGAGCAGTTTACTTACTCTCTTTTGATCTAAAGATTTTCATGCACAAAATTAAAATTTCTTCTGTAGTTATAACCTTTATAAACAATGAAGACATTTACTAAATATCTCAAAAAATAAATGAAAATGTTCTGAGGTTTCCTTTCATAACATTGCTGATAAAGCAAAATATTTTCCAGCCTTTCTATAATTTACTTGCTTTAAAACCATCTTTTAGTCTTGCCTTCCAGGATAAAAATTCCTACATCACAACTATTTTCACTTTGAAAATAATCAATTAGTACCACTCTCAATTTGACAGATTCCCCAAGTTCTGTTATTTTGATTTTATTTCAGAATTATTTGTGCAATGTTGGGAATTGAATGCAGAGCCTTGCCTATGCTAGGTCAGTGTTATACCACTTAAACACGTCTCCAGCCTAGTATGTAGGTATTCTAGATCTGAAGAGCTGGAATCTGAAGGAAATTATCTGATACTTTAAAAGAATTTTAAGTGCTTTTTTATCCATAGCAAAATCTGAGAAGCACTGACACAGAAGACGCTTCCCACACCATGTATAACGGTGCAATGCAGAAGGCTTTTCATACTTTGTACTTTTATTTATTACCATTTCTACTTTCTAGACTATAGCATGAGTTCCCCCGTCAGGAACTGTGCATTCCTTTGTATTTCCAGAGCCCAGTATAGTGGGAGTAGGCCCTTATTCTTCTAGAAATGCCTGTTGGCACATTTAATTCCAGCACTCAGGAGACAGAGGCAGGTGGATCTCTGTGAGTTTGAGGCTAGCCTGGAATACACAGCGAGTTGCAGTTAACCCAGGACTGCTTAGTGAGACCCTGTTGCCCAAAACAAAACAAAATCAAAATATCAACAACCCAAATTTTTTGTTGAGTGAATGAATAAAAACAAAAATCTGAAGAGGCCAAATATGACACGTTTTAAGATACAACTCAATGTTTTGTGCTTTTAAAAAAAAATCAGCAAGATAATAAGAATCTGGTTGCTTTCTGTTCTGCAACACTTTCTCTTGTGCAATGGTTTTCAAAGTACAGCTTGGGCAGCCCTAGAGACATTTAGAGGATCTGTGAAGTCTGAGCTATTTTTGTAATACTAAAACGTTGTCACTGTCATTCTCCCTTCATGAGTGTACAGGCGAGGAACTCATAGGCTACATGATAGGTAGTATCACAACTGAGTGACTACAGAAAGGGATGAGAATCTAGTTTTTTTCAGTTAAGACAAAGTAAGAGATTTGCAAGATGTAAAACAATGTCACTCTTTTCACCAATTTTGAAAATGTTTTATGTTAATATTCAATAGGTTTATTATTGCTATCTTAGATGAGCTAATAAATACTTTCTAAATATCCTTGCTTTCATTTTCAAAAATGATCACTGTTAATAGATATAGAACATAGGAAGCTCCTGGGAGCGTTGTATCCAAAGGGAGACTTCCTATCAAAAGGTTTGAGAGCCACTGCTCTTGTCCTCTCTCCAAGGGTCAAATTACAAATGGACGTGAAACAATATCTATCCAAAATGCAGAGAAACAGAAATTCCTACTTTAGAAGCCCTGAAACTCACAGTTGTGCTTGGGTATTTTTTTTTCTACCACTAAATGGCCAAACTCCTTTGGATATGCAAGTTAATGCCTCGCTCAGCTTTCAAGACTGTCAAAATGTGCCAGTTCTGGGAAGTTCTTCCTGATTTTTACAACTCCATACATCAGCCATCAATTTTCTCTGTGTTCAACTTTATTATGGTCTTCCATGTTTATTGTTTCTGCATTTATTTTTTCCTTCTTACCACGCCAAAGAATCCATAAAGGTAGAGTGGTGTGGTGTGGAAAAATACTATACACTGGGAACTGACACACTTGGGGTCAAATTCCTGTTTCCTTGTTAGTAACTCAAGCCCTAGGCAAATTTCTTAAATTCTCTGGGCTCTTGTTTTTAATGGGTGACATTAACTACCCTCTGTCATTCCCATCAGATAGAGATCTGTAGATCTTGTTTCTTCAGTCATACTACTTTCAGCAGTATAAGCACCTAATAAATGTTTCTTAACCAACTAAACTAACTCACAATGCAGAAAGACTATGAGCTCCTTACAAAACAAATGCCAGGTATAGTGAAGGTTTTTGTTTTTTTTTTTAAAATACTGATTTCTTTCTTTCTTTTGCTAGAGAGCAAGAGTTTCTATTCCTCTGAACACCTTTTCCTTTTAATTTTTAATTATAAAGCTCTAAGAAGCTTTAAAAAATCTATTACAATATTAAGTACATTCTTTAATTTCCTCTATGATTATGTCTCATCTGCCACTTGGTATTCCATAAACCTGAAGGGGTAGGTTCTTCTTTTGAAATTGCTAAAGAGACAATTTTCCTTCTTTCACTGGGATGAAATATTTTACTTATTCTATTGCACATATATCTTTATCTTTCACAAATTAATGTATTTTGTAGTCTTGGCATAGTTTAAATATACCCGAGAAGAGGCTGAAGATAACAGAAAATACATTATATCCATAAAGGATTCCTGAAAGATGATTAAATTTATATGCATTATCAATTTGTGTTACAACTCAGAAATATGCAGAATACAATCACTATATCAACGACCCTACAGTTTATGACAACAGGATAGTGATAAGAATATTGTATAAAAACTAGAGTTTTTGCAGGGTGTAGTGAAGCACACCATTATTAAGCCCATCACTTAGGAGGCAGAGGCAGGTGGATCTCTTCGAGATCCAGGCCACTCTGGCCTACAGAGAAAGCTCTAGGTCAGCCGGGACTGTAGGGAGACTCTGTTTCAAAAAATATAAAATAAGAAAAATAAGCTGTCTTTCCATTCCTTCCTTAAAATCTCAGAATATGACATGAATGTCACATGAAGACAAAAGGTTTAAGGGTGTGTGTGTGTGTGTGTGTGTGTGTGGTGCTTGAGATGGAATACAGGGCAGGCTAGGCAAACACTCTACCACAGAGCTACAACCCCAGGATCAAGATTTTTTTTTTTCTTATCTGTCTCTAAAAATCTCTCAGCCCAGTGAACTCAAATAAATCACATAATGGGCAATGAACACAATCTTGACAACCCTAAGAAGACTGCAAAACAAGACAATCCTAAGCATACTGAATAATTTGTACTTTAAAATGCCAGATTCGGAGCTAAATATTTTGCTTTTCTTTATCTAGTGTATATCCTATAGCCCTTCAGTGCAACGTGCTGTTTTCAACTTTCAAGTTAACTTTAAGCATCAAAGTGCAGGCTTTAGCTACCTCTCCTAGAGTTTTAGGAAACACTTGGAAAGGGCTGACAGCCAAAGCACTGGTGGTACCAAAAAGAAATGAAGAAATCTCACAGGAAAACAACAGAAGAAGGCATGAATCTATAGAATGGTGCACTGAAAAATAAACGTCATTGTGGTAGGTTTCTCAGGGCCCCTGGGGAAAAAAAGGGGGAGGGGGAAGGAAAGAAACAAGAAGAGGGCCAAAGGACACAGACGGGAGGGAGAGGTGGAAGAACCAAACGGGTTCCCAGAGTTCGACGGTTGAACGAATATCCTGTAGCTACTATCCGGGACTTATTTGTCGGCCCTCCCTATTTGAGAACTCATTTCTCTGCCATCTCTTTCCCCCAAGGTCCCTTTCCAAAGCACGTTGTCACTCACCTCCAAGGACTGTGCCCAGAAAGATGCATTTCTTTTTGTGACGTTTCAGAAAATTCCACGTTGACCTGAGCATATTCAGGTCCTGGGGGTGTGCGCTGCCGAGGAGCGGGGCTGTCTCACCAGGAGCCGTCTTAATTCACCCAGGGCCGACGGAAGCGTGTCCTCGCAGTAGTGGCTCTCGGCGACTTTCCGCAGAGGCTGTCAGCAGAGCGGGAAGGGGGCGTGGACTACATCCCTGCAGCTGCGCTTTCTGCCTCCGCCGATCCACTGCTCACTGGTCCGGGGTGCCCGGGTCCGTCCACAAATAGCTCCCGGTGCGTCACCTTTTAGAGTCCTCCTGGAAGCAGTGTCCCACTCTCCGCGTTCCGCTGCGGGTTCGTCTCTTGTTCCTCTGCCTGAGTCCCTGAGTGGTGGTGGTATGGAGGTGAGGGTGGCCTCCACTCTGGCTGCGAACGATTCGTGTGTGGTGTCCTCACAGGAGACCGAAAAGTGGATGGAGGAGGCGATGCGCATGGTGAGGACCCCGCGAGGCAGATGCTGCGCGTGGAAACTTTCTCCTGTCCACGGAAACGTGCTCAGCGCGCTTCTCATCACCTTTATCTATTAGGCGTTCAAAACCTCTGGATCGATGGCTTGCTCTATGCTCAGGAAATTTTCTTTAGCCCTATGCGCAGTGGTTGGGGGGTGAAGACGAATACAGAAATTATTACTGTGGAGGATACACTAAAAGCCCTTCAGCCACTATGGGGTTTGTGCTGTCTAAAACCACATTGCTGGTCCCCACTCCCTGAACATATCTAATGAGAGGAAGCTGAAGGTATTTCTGGTAGAGAGACATATGAAAGCGTTTCTCTACACAACCCTCGTCTATCATTCGCTTACTCTTTCTGTGTTACTTTCCTCTGTCCTGGACTTCCTTCCTTCGCTCCGTTTAGGATTGCTGATAATAGAAGGCTCTGATCAGATCTGCGTATTTTCTGAGTTTTACCCATATTGATGTGTGCCAATGAACTCCAGTAGGATAAAAATTTTCATGGCATCTTTATACAGAGTACTTTATACACAGTAGTCTTCCGGACTTAACACAGTAGTCTTCCGGATTTGTGTACTTAACACAAATCTAGGTGATATAACCTTCTATACACTAAGGCTGTTATATATAATGTTGAGTTATGAAATAACTGTGCTAATAACATTGTGCTACAAAATAGGAAGCTTTGAACGCATATATTACAACCTGTTGCTCCTAGGTGGGAAACTTGTATAGCATGTTACTCTACTGAATACTTTATGCAGTGGTAGGTATTTGTGTATATAGGGATAGAAAAGGTATAGTGAAGATGAATCCAAAATATAAAAAGTGCTATACCTGTATAGAGTACTTGCTATGAATGGAGCTTGCATGATGGGAAGTTGCTATGGGCCAAAGTGAGGTGATCTGTGACTGTGAGGGCATAGGGTGTTGCTATACCTACTGTAGACTTTATAACACTGTGCACTTAAGCTACACTTGAGAAAGAATAAGAGCTTTTGTTCTTGCATAAATTAGCCTTAGTTTCCCTTTCTGTTGTTAAAAGGTGCCTTCCAGCCGGGCATGGTGGCGCACGCCTTTAATCCCAGCACTCGGGAGGCAGAGGCAGGCAGATCTCTGTGAGTTCAAGGCCAGCCTGGTCTACATAGTGAGTTCCAGGACAGCTGGAGCTACAGGGCGACCCTGTCTCAAAAAGACCCCACCCCAAAAAAAGCCTTCCATGGGGTCAACATCATCAGTATCTTCCACTTCTTCATCTTTTCTCTATAGGAGAGTGTTCAGGAGCAATAACTTCCAAGGAACTGACAGCTAGGTCAACAATAACTTCTATCTGGAATACTTCCTGAAGGACCTACCACCGAGGCTGTTTTTCAGTTATCTCCCCCCTTTTTTTCTACGTAGAAGATATACACTGTAAAACAACAAAACTTGCTGTATAGTAAATACATAAATCAGTAACAGTCATTCATTATTGCTAAATTGTATGTACTGTACACAAGTCTATGTGCTTGTATTCAATAGCATCACCACAAAGCTGTGAGTAAAGAATGTAGTGTGCTACTGCATTATAGCTGCATTGTGCTACAAAATAGGAAGCTTCGAACTCCATTAGACTCTTGTTGAACACTGACTCTGTTGTCCACTGTTGACTAAATTGTCCTTATAGCAGGAAATATCTGTACATGAATATAACTGTAATCTATATATGCTCATACAGTTTGTGAATTTGTATATATGCATATACATATAAATAGAAAATGCCCATACATTTTTCATTCCTCTGATGTTGCTGTGAAAAAGATCCATTTCCATTGTTTAGTTTCTTGTCTGGGGTTTTTGGTTTCGTTGTGTGAGTGTGTGTGTGTGTGTGTGTGTGTGTGTGTGTTTGAGAAAGGGTCTTCCTGTAGCAAACTTGGAACTCACTATGTAAAGGAGGCTGACCTTGATCTCCCTGAGACCTGCCTGCTTCTGCCTCACCAGTGCCGGGATTAAATACATGTGCCACCATGTATGGCTTCCTCCTTTCAGTTTTTTAAAGACACAGTCTCACATTTGCAACTCTCCTCCCACCCTTGCAAATGCTGGGATTAAAGGTGTGCTCCACCATGCCCTGCTCAAAAAAAAGGTTTTTAAT